TGAAATACGGCAAATTCAATAAATTCAACATAAAAGCGGAGATTTCACACCCCTGGTTAAAACAAGCGAACTTTGCCCACGTTTCCAGAAAACTCATCCGTTTACATGGCCTGTTGGCAATGACCTTGACCCCTACAAGTGGCTGTGGTTGGTCATTCCAAACAACAGGTAGTAATGCACGCAGAAAGTGTGCCAACAGCGACACAGCCTCAAAGCTTCCAAGTGTACAGGAAACTCATGTGTTTACCTTGCATGAACTGTTCGCGATGACCTTGACCCTGGGGATGACCTCACTCATGAAGCTGGTTGGCCAAAGCACCTGGGAGACGAGACCCGACGCACAAGCTTCCAGGGCAGTCATCCTGCGGCCGCTGTACAAGAGGTCACATGCCTGGGAGACAAACCATTAAAATCAATGCAACTGTTTGATGAACATTAGTTTGCAAAGACTGCATTGGACGGACCCTGAATGAAAACCTCAAACAAATCTAACAAGGAATGCTCCTGACATTGTGTCTGACGCATGTTACTTCATACACATTCAATGCAACTGTTTGATGAACATTAGTTTGCAAAGACTGCATTGGACGGACCCTGAATGAAAACCTCAAACAAATCTAACAAGGAATGCTCCTGACATTGTGTCTGACGCATGTTACTTCATACACATTCTGTGCTCGGAGCTTTATAACGTGAGACAAGGAAAACTTCACGAGCCTTTCGAAACAGTGACTTGTTACTCAATCACAAAAACATTTTGGTGCCAAATTTGTACACATTCAGCATCACAAAATTCCAGTGGTTGTCAACCATTCTGTCAACATAACTTGTACTGTACCATGACAATGTCGGCAATGGAACCATCCAAAATTGCTACGTATTGCTATGGGAGAAAACGGCAAAAGCAGCAATGACAAACAAATTGAAATACACACTTTTCCAGGAGCTCCAAGAACTGAATACATTCTTTCTAAGGCCAAAAGTGCCTTGCTTCTTTCCACAAAAAAATTTAAATTGCAAGACAGACCAATTTCAAGAGCAAGCAGGAATTTGCAGAACTTCGGGACACATCACATATCCAATATCAAAACTGCCTACGACAAGTAACCAATTCCATTCAAGAATTGTATGACAGTTCATATGTTCATCAACTTTCAGAGCCGGAACTTGAAAAATTTCCCAGCCAGGTCCAACCATCCAGCAAAGACTCCAGCAGAGGTCTGCGGTTCCAGGACCTTCCAAAGACACTGTTTGCTTCTTGTTCAAGGCTGAGACTTCCCCTGTACTCACCACTGGAAGACCCATGGCGTTGGGGAAGGTGAAGGAAGAGCAGCCCTCAGGAGGCTGGCCCATGGCTGCATAAGGGAGGTGAAACTCTGCCTTGTCACTGCTGTAGACAATATCACATAGGGGAAGGATGGCAGCTCCAAGGCCCACTGCCTTGCCATTGACAGCAGCCACGATGACCTTGGGGTAGTTGATCAGTGCATTGATGAACACCCTGTTGAATCATTTTGAAAACCCAAACCACGTATCTCAGTCAGGTTTTACACACATACACATCGTTATCTGTTTCCTTTTAGTCTACCCACAGAGAACAAACATAGAACGTATATAAGGGACTGAATGTAAAAATTTCAATTTTTGGTTTGTTATGAGCATGTTATAAACAAAACCCTTCCCTTATCAGCTCAGTATTATTAAAACAAGACTTCCATTTTTCAAAAGGATTATTCAGGTACAAAGCAAGCGCAAATTTTTTTTAATCACCAATGATCCCGCAAAAACATCCCCCTTACAACTCCCAAAATTCCTTACCGTAATGCCTCAGCTAACTTTTTGGCATGTCTCCTCCTTTGTTCTGTGACTAGTAACTTTTCCAGGTCCAGCCCAGTGCAGAATATATTCCCGGATCCAGTAAGCAAGAGTGCTTTCGTTTCATCTTTGGTTGATTTCTCAAGGACATCTGTAAGCTCCTGCAAGGCCTGCAAAATTACAGAAACAACAATTAGGACTGAAGTAACAGCACAAGAATGCATGCGTATGGGAGGCATCATGTGCAACTACCTGCCACCATCGGAAGCCCTGCCACCAGCTTTTCAGCAAGGAAGCCTTGCCACTGACTTAAACAAACAGTAATGAGCCAGGCACCCTTTCAGGGTTAGAAGTCCTTCTAAAGCAAACACACTATTTATGATAAAACTGCATTTGTGTACCTGGGTGCCTTAGAAAATTTTGAAATCATACTGCTTCACCGACAGAAGTGAGCGGTACTTTGACAAATTCAGCCACACTCCTCAAGGACATCAAGAGCTTTTCTCAATTAGATCATAATTCAATGTCGTAAAGGGGAATCCCCAACTGGTGAGCTTCCACTGGAAAGCTTCCAAAAAGGCAAAAAAGGAATCTAGGCACAGCAGATTTTACCTTGACATTGAGCGCATTCCTTGCGGGAGAATTTGTGAAAAACCAAACTTGGGTGTACCCTGGGTGCTTCTTGACGACAATCTCCTTATATTTGAAGATGTTGTCGCATTGCCTGGTGCTGAACCTCCTGAGTGGGGATGAGATAACATGCCAGTGATCAACCTAACCTTCAGACACCTGCCGAACTAAGACACTCCTAAAGAGCAAAACCCAGATCTCAGAGCACTCGGAATCCATTCTGCCTTACAATGCAATTTTTCTGGCCACAGGCTTTGTACGAAACAAAATCATACCACCTTTACTGTTTCATACGATTGATGACTTTCTACAAGACTGCTTCTCATGTACACCTGGAAAAGGGTAAGCATACCTCCACCACGAACTTAAGCTTCATCTTTTAGCAGCAGATGGGCTGCCTTGTAGGCTTCGCTTCCTAGTTGAGGACCTTCTAAGTGTGTCAAGATTTAAGAGCTTCTTGGCTTTCTTCTCACCTCTTGGTCTCATCTTCCTCTTCGCTGCTCACGCTGGACTGCGAAAACCTCCGTGGGGCAAAGTTCTCAGCATACTTGTCCTCTCGGTCCTTGCGGCTTAGCCTGGCCCTGATGAACTTCTCGGTGGACAGGAGGGACTTTGGAGAGGGCAGCTTGAAGCTACCTCCCGCTTTCAGGTCGTGGAGTTTGACGATTGGGGTGAGCAGAGGGGTGAGGGCCAGCTGGGCATCGCTGTTTGTAGGAGTGCTGGGCGGAGTGGTGGTAGGCGTGTCCAAAGATTTACCTGCAAATGGCCAATTATCAGACTCACAGTTGTTTTTAAAGCTTCAGTCTGTCGTCATCTTTGAGCAAGTTACATTGGCAACAGTTTGTTAACCACTGGTTTATTTCGATCGATATATATAGATATATATAGATATAGATATATATAGATATATATATATATATATAAAAAAATGCATAGGTTACCAGTCAAAGGGGATCATTGTTGACAATTAGTTGCTGATCGAACTTACCCTTTCATGATGCCGAAGTCTGGAAAGGTACTAAACTTTGCGAAAAACTCATGCCCTCTGCTCAAATTCAACAATAAATTCAACAAAATCTAAAGCACTAACCTGAAGTGAAATATCCTCTCACTTTGAATTGTCAAATATTTCCAGCCATGCAAAATTACTACAAACTGCATTATTTTGAAAAACGTTCCATGAAGGAAGACAATTAGTTACAACCATACATGTACAGCTGCATGCTCAGCAAGTCTGTAGTGAAAAATCTTTACATCAGGCACATGAATCCTAACCTCCTGGATTGTTCAAAGGTTTGCAGAAAGGCAGGGAAGTCTTTCTTTCAATGGGAACTGATTGGCCCTGCAAATTACTTTGATGTGGCTAGAATAAAGGACTGGGTTGAAGGAAGGGCAAAGCTACCAAGAGATTTCAGGCTAAGAAGCCATGGAGTGAGTTTAGGTACAGGTAGCAAAATGGGAAACCAATGAAGACGTGTGTTTGCCGTGAGTATGACATCTAGACGAAGGTTTTGACTAACCAGTGAACAAAACAAACTCCACTGCGAGCTAAGGGTTTCAATCCTATGACCAGGTTCATTCAGGAACACCACAGTTCCTATCAATTACCAAGTCCAAATAAAGTACATGAGCAAGTACATTTATAATCTACACCGCAAACAAGAGCCCACTTTTATTTCTGTCTTACATCCTCTCCACTTTACCCACATTATTCAGGACTTTTTATATTGTATAAAACAAATCAAGAAGATGAAAGCAGGAGGTATGAATGAGGAGTTTCATTGTTTTCAGGGAGTTAACTCAATGTTTGTCTCTAAATTCCAGTTTGGAAGTACCTGTATTCAGAAGATCACTGTTTCCAATGTCTAGAAGACTGTTCACCCGACGTCTTTTGGCACTTTCACTGCCCTTGATATCATCAACAGATGCCTCAGGGTTTTCATAGCCCATGCAGGACATGGACCTTGGCCTGTGGAAATGTTTGTTATTAGTCAGGCTGGAAAGCTTAATATCAGTTGAAGAAGATCCTGAAGTGGATGACACAGAGGATGGGGATGGATCAGATACTCCGTTGCAGGTGTAATGCTGGTCCCCATTGGGGAACATTCTCTCCTTCTTGAGAACCACCTGGCAGGCATCCTGAAAGGGGTTCTTCCTCTTGGCTGGAGCTCTGCTGTTTTGGCAGACCTCCCAATCAGTCCTCATGCATGTCATGTGACTCTTGGAATCCCTCTTGGCCCTGCTTGGGTCCCTCTGCTTAGACGAGTTTGGCTTTTTGTGTGGTGGGGAGCCTTTCCAGAAGGGTCCCTTCTCTCTCAAATTGCGCTCACTGAAGGCATCCAGGAGGTCCATACAGTTCCGCAGGTTTTCCACGGGCTCCCACGTGTCGTCCTCACAGCCATAGTTCTTCCATCGGACAAGGTATTCCAGCTTACCCTTTTTGTTTCTCCTCTGCTTGACAATCTTTGTTACCTGCCACAGAAGCAAGATGGTAAATGAAACATGAAAAACTGCCAAGTATACATATGCTTAACCAAATGGACATTTCCAGTTTAACAACAAAGCGATAAGTTGTACACATGTGCATAACATGTACAGTCATACAGGATTTAAAAGGAACAAAAGACATTATAAGGATATAACAAGTACATAAGCAGCCTTGGTCCGGTTCCCTCAAAAGGATCCTTAACCTGGCTTCTTCCAAGGAACATCATCTCAATTCCTTTAACATGAACCTTCAACCTACTTCTTCCACCATGGACATCAACCAAGGTACTGTCTGAGAGACATGAATTGTTCCTTCAGATGAATAATTTGACCCAATCCCTTCAAGCGAAGCTGTAATCATGGGCCTTCGTGAGGGATCTCAAATACGACCATGGTCTATCAAGACCAATACTTCAGTTACCCAATTCCCTCAAAAGAAACCCACTGCTTTTGAAGTTTGGTCAAAAACTAGAAACAATCAAGTTCCTTCAAGACAATCTAGGTTGCATTACAGGGCTTGAAACTAGGAGGATCCATGAGCCTACTCTTGGTAAATCTCCAAAATGCTCCCACACATCTAGAAGTTGAGAGCAACCACTTGAGCCTATTTGTAAATAAGTTTTATCTACATGCATAGGCTTTTCTTTTGAAACCTCATCTTTTAAGTAATATTACATTCATACTGAGTGAATTCAAGAAATTAGCTGTCAGCCTAAACGTGATAATTAACCATATCAATATCAGACATATCTTTAACCCTAACCCACCTCAATCCTCCAAAATCCTCCGGGTGGTTTTGGAGGATTTGAGAGAATTCAGGATGATTGACGATTTGAAAATTTGAGGATTTTGGAGGATTGAGGATGAATGGTGATTAACCCTAACCTCCTAGGGTGTATGTAAAATTGTATTGAAATTGGAGGATTTGGGACTAGGGTTAAAGAATGGAGGATTTTGGAGGATTGAGGATGACGAGTATTTTAAAGGCAACTTGGAGGCTGGGGTAAGAGTTTACTTTGTGATTACTTTTTGCGTCATCCGTTGTACAAAATATATATGTGTGCCTGTACATGAAAGTTACGCCAATACTCAACAATAGTAAAGCTGTTCTGATCTACATCTGACGCGGGGAAGTTTTCTGGATTTTGGCTTAAAAGATATTAGCCAAACTTTCAGAGGCAGTTTTGCTGCAAACCATCCAGATTCTTCCACTGCACAAAGAACCAATGGTAAATTCTCTGAACTTAAAATGGGGTTTCAAGCCCCATGTAAAATCATTAGTGGCAAGGCTCTGGATTGTACCTTTCTCCGCTACTCTCTCATCTGCTTTAAACTCCAACAGACGGGTGGGGAGGTTTGGAGATTTTCCTTTATAAAAAAATACATGTGAATACCAGTCACTGCTACCTTATATGTGCCTACTTGGGAGCCGATCGCCATCGATGTCTCTTAAAAAGAATACAAATGGTATACAGGTACTATCAGTTTCCTGCACTGTGGTAGATTTTAAAGGCTTAATCAGATGTCTAGAGCAAAAATGACTTACATGTAGGAAATAGGGTTAACTATGAAAGGACATCCTTGCCCTATGCAAGAAAAGGTCAGGTGTCATCTTCAGAAGGAAGTAAAAGACTGCCACTGTGACCCACAATCAACATTGGACAGTTTCTATGTGTTCCTGCAATATAGGACTAATCTTGAAAATGTTTCAGGAAGGAAATAAATGTGTATGTTTGGACATGGATTAACCCCGCCAGTCGTGTACCATTTCCCACTGGTCTAAATTGTGTGCATGAGTTCCTTTTCCAGGGTAGCTGCATGTGGGACCAGATGTTGTAAACAAATCTCCAAGTTTTGAAACTGCGCACTGTGTATCATTCTCACATTTAATGCACCTCAGATGTGCTTCCATCAGTTTCAGAAGAATTCTAATTCTTTTTGTAGCGGCTTTTGGTGTAATAAATGGGACAATTCTGATCTGGTAACTTGTATGTACATGTACGGGTATAAAACTGGACTGCAAAAGCAACGATCATTTATTGGCCGAATCGGGTAGAATTTTGGGCACAAAATCAAATACAAGAAATAACAGCTTGTCTGCAAACACAGCTACTTCACTGCAATGACACAAATTTTGGTGATGGCATTCCAAATGAATCTTATTAGCTTCAGCTGTTATACTTTACTAAATGCACTGGAAAGACTAGTTTAAAATGCCTCAGGGGGCCATGCAATGTAGTTTAACACCTGAAAGTCTCACATGATTGTTTAACATAATCATTTAAAATGGTACATTTAAATTTATAAAACTATGTACAGTGGAATGCTGCTATAACGAACATAACGGAGTCCACGCTAAATGTTTGGTACAGCGGTCATTTGGTACAGCAAAATTAACGGCCGAACGTTTCATTGCCATGTTGAATAGCGCTCACTCTTGTCTAAGTGAAGTGCACCCTCTTTACTTTTTATTTTAACATTGTAAGGGAAAATCAGTGTTGTCCGTACACAGAACTCATTCCCTTTACAGAATTTTCATGCCAGGAATAATTTCACAGTTTTGTGACTTCTGACCTGTCTGACAGTTCGGTAGACACTACTACCCGGTAGTAGCCCATGGCGGTACAATGTATGCTTGGCCATAATTATTTGCTTGGCAGGAGATGCTCAAGCCTTACACTGTACTAATCTACACTAGTAGTACTACTATAGGTTAGTACAGTGTAAGGTTTAACCATCTGTACTAACCTACACTAGAAGTACTACTAGTGCTAGTAGTAGTAGGCCCCTACAACAGTAGTATCTCCTGCACGCAAATATGGCCAAGCATACCTACATGGCCATGGGCCAAGTGAGAGACAAAAAGCACGCATGTAGGCCTACTGTAGCTACACGACGATATGCCTATCCGGATCTGATTAACTGGTCCAGTCATCAACTTTCTGCATTTCGAAGCGATACGCTGTAAATTCTCGAGGCCTATGCGGTGGGCCAGTGTGGAGCTCAGGCAGGGTGACTGCATGTAGCGTTGCAGGCTACATGCTTCCTGTCGATTTCATCAACATGATCAACGGCCGGCAGAGTGACGGACGAAGGCGAAGCGAGTCACCACAGCTGCCTTTCATACCTTTGGCTTAAACTTCTAAACTGGCATGGCCAATTGAGAGTTCAAATATGTGACAGCATATGTCAAAGAATAGAAGATTTTATTAAATTACGTGGATAGCTTCAAATATCAGGAAAAATACTCACTTCAAAGTCTTCAGTACCGTTTGAGTGCGCCATTATCGAAAACTGTACCCGTCATGCATGCATCACCGCACCGACCGTACCGCAAACACTGCACTGGCGCGCTGTCGCGGCGCAGTGCAGTACACAAAAGTCAGGCAGACTCCGATCTCTCCCCAGACGTCTTCCAATGAAACGTAGTCTATACTTGTCAAGTGTATACGACTATGACGTCATTCGACCGGCGCCTTTTCTTTAAGAAGAAAAATGGCACTTGCAGCTACACGTTTGGCAACAAAATTTCTCAGGTTTGTCACTTTTCCTCTGGCGAGTTTCTAACAGTCAATGATAGCACTGGTTACACTATGCTGTGCATGATGTTTACATACGCGCTTCCTTTTTTAAGGAGACTTGTCAACATTTTGCACCAAAGACGCGAGTGAAACTGACGCATTTCCTACCTCAAGTTCAGTGTTAGGCCTTCTTGTCTTTTCCGTGCTTGGGGGGTTTGGGGTCAGCTCGTATCCGAGTTAAGGGTGCAGTGTCTCAATTCAAGGAAAATTCTCTGCCAGGCCGAGGCGCTCTAAAAGTACTCTTACAGCTTCTTTCGAAAAGAACGTCTGTGTGGGTCAAGAAATTGTGGAAACGTGTAACTCTAAGTATGACCCAGGATAATATAATCTCTGTCATGTCTGTCACGTCTGTAGATTCAGGGGCACCCATGCTGCAAAGCAGACAATTAATAATGTGATTGAAAATTTGTCAGAAGAACCCCAGAAAGGTGAGGGGTATCATTTGAAAAATGGCTGCTGAGAAGACTTGGGAACATTCATTTTTGGCGGGTTAATTAAAAAAAATCATTGGTTTACCTACTTGAAAATCAAATGAAATCTGAAGGACCAAACAACATGACACATTGTTTTTGTTTGAGAGGCCTCATGACTCGGGGTCTTCAGATGCCTGCCATGGGGCTCCAAACTTTGTTGATTTTACACTATTTTCAGTGGAGTTTGAATTGGGGTAGTGCACCCTTAACTCTTGCTCTGGCCCAAGTCGTACCGCAGTCAACTCGTACCCTCAACGAAAACACACACGAACTGTGACCCAAACAGATTATAATTGTTTCCTTTCTTTTTTGCCCCAAACGGATTGGGATAATTAGTTTCCCTTTTAATACCCCGAATGGATTACGATAATTTTTCTTCCCCTTGTTCCTGTTTTCCTCACTTTTTGGATGATGTCAGATGCTAGGGATGTTTATTCATCTTATATTATTAAAATGGTGAAACTTGCAAGTATGGTCCCCCAAAGGAAAGCTGGACCATAAATTTTATTTTATTTAGGATTTCAATTCTATCTGTTTTTTGTTGTGCAGGGACCAAATCACGGAAATTTCCCATCCCAGGCCACCGTGATTGGTCAGAAAAAAAGAATGAGAAGGAAAAAATCTCTTTTTTGTAGTCAGACGCCATTTTTATCCTACTTCCTAAACATGGTGGGAATTTTTCAAACGAAATCCAACTGGTAAAAGGAACTTTTATACACTTCATACATGTACATACATTTGCATTCAATAAATGCCAGTATCAACACCTCATATTATGCTCTGCATATTCTCTGCTGTGGGCCTGGGGAGTATGAGTTGACTCAGGTACGAGCCAACCTGGCTACAAGTTAACTCGGGTGCTAGTTGACTTGGGTACGAGTCAACTTGGGTGCATATTTTAGGGTGCGAGTTTATCCATTTCGGCTTGGAGATAAGGCTTAAGTCACTACACGGACATGACAGAGTACGTGTGGAAGGGAGATTTGAATGTTTTTCTTACGTGACACTTTTTCTTTTACAAGCTTCCTTAGTTTAGTCAGCAACTTGTCTGGTACCCTGTATCACCTTATAGTTTAGCATTGCTCATCAAGCTTCCTGCAGTTAATTGTTCAGACTGGTGCGTGCTACTGAAGAGTGAGCATTACCACTCACAGCTCTCTTCAGCCTTCCCACATTTGCTCTTTTCTGCTCTTGTCACAAGTTGCAGCTGGAGTTTGTGCCGGATTGGTCACTCGAGTAATCCACTTGTGGCACTGTGTTGGGTTGTTATCACATTTCCATTTTTTTCATTTTTTTTACTTTGTCCTGACATTCCGAATAAATCGCGACCCAGTCTTCCTGAACCAGGTGTCTTCAGATCCTGTTACTTTCCCAAAGTCTTATGTATTAAGTTAGCAGGGCAAATTTCCAGGTTACATACGCCTACTTCCAAGTTCCAGAACTGTAATTTAATTTTAAGCCTGGTTTTTGTATTGACGTCAGAAACGCAGAGAGCAACGCAAATAAGACGCAAACTGCAATGCGGACATGTGGAAACATGCCCAACAGAGGTGTCGCCGACAGCGCTAACATCTTTGTCCTGTCCGTCATGCATTTCTTTTGTGCAGAGACGCTGCAAGTTCTGTTTTGCCCATTCAGAATTTTGCATCATTTGCACATGTGAACCACTGTGAGCAATGTGCCCTGTGTTCCACTCCGATTAGATTATTAGACTTTATTTATTTCTCCTGCTCAGGCTGGGTAACTACCAGGGTGCGTCTGTCCTGCAGAGACGGTGCTTCCACCAAACGGCCGTAATGGGGGTAACTGATGCCGAGTTCTCTGCCGCCAAGGAAAGAGTTGGCACCCTGACCCAAGACCCTGGGAACGAGGTCAAGCTGAAGATGTATGGACTCTTCAAGCAGGTAACAAATCACACAGACTGCATGTTTCTTGGCATATCTCCTTTGTAAAATTAAACATGGCGCTAGCCCTGTCACCACACAGTGGAAAGCTGACATGCATATTACCAGCCCCTTATAGGCCGTGTCCAAACAACTTGGCTGCAGCTTGAAATTACACACAACTTTGTTGGAAGTGGCTGCGGCATGGTTTTGAGCCACTGCCAAGTAATCTGGACACAACGGTATCATCTGTTTCAAAGTTTTGGATCTGAATACAGCACTGTCAATGCACCCTAGTCAAGTAAAGCCTGGCTCCATTTCATGTAGCACACGCACTTTACGTGCCGGACAATGCATTTTTATATTCCACAAATAATGTTGCTGATTGTCTTGTTCCAGGTGGCAGTTGGAAAGTGCAATGCACCTAAGCCCGGTGCATTCGACTTTGTTGGCAAGGCTAAGTGGGGTGCTTGGAATGACCTTGGAGACATGTCGAAGGTAACTTCATTTTAACTGCCCCTTAGAAGTGTTAAATTTGTAACAGTTTAGATCTCAATTCTGACAACTCTTGGCTTTGTGAGTCGGGAGAGAAAGCAGTGGGACAATGTGTGTAAGTGTGCACAACTGCGTCTGCATCTGGCGTGAAATACGCACAAGGTAATGTTACAAATCTGTAACAGATTCATGCAGGTGCGAGGGGGGGGACATCGGCATTCAACAATGCTTCTCTAGTTTGTGGCTAGTGTTTTTAATTTTATCAACAGCTGAATTCCCTTTTCTTCTGAAGTCAACCGTATTATTGCAGATTCTGCCTCATTCTTTTGCATGAGGCCTACAGCTGCCGGTCTTCCATCTGTTTTCTTTTATGTTTTGCTATCCTTGCACAGGAAGAAGCTAAAGAGAAGTACGTAGACCTGGTGAATGACCTGGTGGCCAAGGATCCCGGGGCCAAAGCCACCTCAGCCCCAGCTGGTACTCAGGAGGGTACGTCCGCAGCCAGCTCCTCCACTGGAGGTTACGAGAATCTGAAGGTGACAATAGACAAGGGCGTGTGCACTATCATGATGAACAGACCCCATAAAAAGAACGCCATCACAAGGGAGGTAGGTAGCCTCTTCAGCTGATTTGTGGTGTGGGGTGGGGGGTTAGCGGTAGGCAATACCTGATAGCAGGGGCACTGCTCAGGGTGGATGGTGCCAGACACCCTCTGAAACTAAGTGCTGCTGGTCATTGAAGTTTGTATAATTTTGGCACTGAGAAGGAAATCTTACCAACAAAACTAAAGGAGGGCTCTCTTGATAAAACAGGCCCTTGAACAAGAAGAGTCCATGCCCAAAATATGCCTTGTCTTGCTGCCATGTATGTAGCCAGAGATGCCGATCAAGGATTGGACTGATTAGCCGTGATTAAACATGGTACTGATTCGCAAGTGACTGCTCAAGATAAAGGCCGGGATGGTTGCCTCACCCTTTGTGCCCTTACATTCCCAAACAAATTAAGTATTGTTTTCTATCGGGCACATATTCACTCCAAGTTCAGACAAACTCCTCTTGAGCAAGATGTGTGTTTACAAAACCAAACCCAAGCTACAGTAGTAAGTATTTACACCTGCTGGCATTCAGAATTCGGATATTGTGTTTCAGCTTTGGTAAATTTACTTTTCCTGATTAAACTTCAGCTTTACATCCACTTAAAAGAACTGTTTCTTGGTCAACATGTAGAGCTGGGCCCAATTTCACATTGCTTATCATCAAATGATTTTTTGTGCTAACTTTAGCACAAAAAAATTCCTTCATGCCAGGATTCTTTTGACCGTGACTGCTGGGCTGCGGTATGCCCAGTATGCAAAGCCCTGTTCAGCAGCATATACCCAGCAAGAAATGAGACCGAGGGGTACCCCCCAACATGTCCAATCCTTTACACATTCCAGACTATTGTTACTTAACACATCCCCCCAAGATGTCTGAAAGGAATTCCCCAGATTCCTGCGAGACAATGACCAACACAAAGCAGGGGGGGTTCTCTCTGTCTCATACCTTGCTGCGTATGTAGCAGCAGGCCCACATTGAAACTGCAGGTGCATGATGAATAGACTGTATGTGTGGTATGCACTAATCCTCACACAAACCAGTGGTTGTTGATGTCTCCTGGTGTGAAGGGGTTAAGCACAAGTGAAAAGGGTTTTCTTTCCTTTCTTTTCTGTTGCAGACTTACGAAGAAATCATCAAAGCCTTAGATTCTTCAGGGAGAGATGACAGTGTTGTCTTGTCAGCTCTCACAGGTACCAAATTCATGGAAAAAGTGGGATTCCAAGTTAAAGCAACCTGAGTGGTCTTGCACAGAAAGAAACAAATATCAGCCATTTGGTCAAAACCAGTATTCTCCCTGAACAAGATCAAAACCATTAAGCTTTCATAAGACACGGCTTTATTAATATTGTACTCATATTGTACCAATATGTGTTCTAGCTTTGACAATGAGCAACATAGTTGATATTTTAGCTGCTAGTTTAATAATCATTGCTCTCATTTTAAAAGTTCAAACTCTAAAAATGTGGTAATCGTACTTCTGTTTTTTCAACCACAGGGGCAGGAGATTTCTATTCTGGTGGTAATGATCTCAATAACTTCATGTCCATCACACCGGACACAATGAAGCAGGCAGCCAAGGATGGAGGAGAGCTTTTGGAGTAAATATTGTGTTTCTTTTTTTGTGAGTGGGATAAGATTCTGGCAGGAAAGTACTGTTTGGCAAGTTCCTAGCTAGGAATATTACACGTAGTAGAGGGAGTGAGGTCGGGGTACGACTTTTGTTGGATGGTTGGGACTTCACAGGACTTAAATTGGATATCTGATTGTCAGCAACATTGATTTGGGGATTCAAGGCTGTCAAATGCACTTTTATTTTGGATGATGGGGCAGTGTGGACAAATGGTAGTTTCACAAAATTGCGGGTAGCAACCATGCAACACCAATGAAAACAACTGCAGTAAGCACGCACGTACTTACTGATCAAAGAAAAGATTATGTATCCCGATTGTCGAACTGGCTGATGCGTGCGTATGTTGCCATGGCTGCTGTTTTCACCAGCACGGTAGCTGCCGTTTTGTGAGAATCCCAGATGTCCACACTGCCCCATACTACATATAATCAATAATGGAAAGATAATCAACCGTAGGAAATTATACATGTACATAAGTTGTTGACCAATTTAAGGTTTGACTGCCAGCATTGTTGATGCATTGTTTTAGAATACAGATGCAGATATGCAAATAGCCGTACAAGTTTTCCATAGGTTTGTGCACGAACATGGATGTGCCCAACTGGCTTCACTTTGCATGGCAAGTTGGAGCTCTAGTTGCTATAAATAGGTCTATGGTACGAACACATGTCCGCAGTCGAAGCTATTCACTGACCAATGTTTAAGATGCTGTGATGACTTTGCATTTCTGTCTTTTGTTTTTAGACGCTTTGTAGCGGCATTCATCGACTTCCCCAAGCCACTTGTTGCAGCCGTCAATGGACCCGCCGTTGGTATTCCTGTGACATCATTAGGGTTGTGTGATGTTGTGTATGCTTCAGACAGGGTGAGGATAGTTCAGCTTAGTAGCATTTGTTTCCTCTTCATGGTCGGGCTTATAACGAGATATATAAGATTAACATTTCAGAAGATAAATTGGAGAAGAGGTGGCAAAACCTAAAACATCAAAAGCTTGGGTAAGGCATGCCATGCATTTGAAGCAAGATATGGGACAG